CATTATGAGAAGTGATTTCATGCCTTACAATGCTTTCTATATTAAGCATACATGATTTGGGAAACGGAGATCTTTAAAGCTCACCGATTGTTGCATATGAATCTTGTCTTCAAGATTTTCATGCAAGAATGCATTAAAACCATCTAATTGGAGTAATTGCCACAATTTGTTAAAAGCAAGGGTAAAAAGATGCAAAAACTTGTCATTTTGGCAGCTAAATTAAATCTCTCAGATTGTTTGACTCCAAATTTCTACTTATAGTCTTGAGCTACAAGGCGAGCCGTATATCAAGCCTTCGTTCTGTCGGGATGGAATTTGGTACAATATGTCCAGTAACACTCAAGAATCACCTTATTTGGAGGAGGTGGAACTAAGTCCAAGGTAGACTGTGCTTGGAGAGCGTAGAATTCTTCGGCCATGGCCTTTGGCCAATGAGGAAGCTTAACAGCTTGAGTGAATGAGGTTGGATCTAAATGTTGGTGGAGTTGGTGAGAGAGGTTAAGTTTTTTAATAGGTTTTGTGTGTCCTATTTTTTTTTTGGGTAATCATGGGATGGGTAATACATGTTTGTGGGAGAATGGTTGAGTTGGTTTCTGGGACAAAACTTGGTGGTTGTAGGATTTAGAGTTGGTGTTATTTTTGTGTTAGATAGAGAAGAAATGGAAGGGAGTGTTGAGGGATGGCAGAACCAGTAAGAGGGGATTAGTCCCCTGTTCGCGGGATGCAAGTGGAAGGGTAGTGATATTTTTAATGGAAAAATATGCTCCTGGAATATTACATGTCTAGATATCACAATTTTGTCAGATGCTCAGTTTTAACATTTGAATCCTTTATGTGTGAGAGAATAGCCAAGCAATAAGCACGGTGTAGAGCGAGGGGCAAGTTTGTGAGGTATCATATGCTTGGGCCATGTGTAGCAATAACAACCAAAAACTCTTATATGAGAGTAGGTTGGAGGGTGTTTGTACAGCCATTCATAGGGAGAGACTGAGATGTTATTCTTGGACGGCATATGGTTAATTAAATAGAAAATTTTTTGGAGTCCATCAACCCAAAAATTAAATGGAACAAAAGCGTCATAGAGAAGTGTTCTGGTGGTTTTAATTAGGTGATGATATTTGTGTTCAACAACACCGTTTTGATCCGGGGTGTACAGGCAAGAGAATTGGTGTAGAATTCCTTCTTAGAATAAGAAAGAGTGAAGGATGACATTACGTATTCCCCACTGTCATCGGACCGGAGTATACTGATGGTTGTTTTAAGGTGAGTTTTGATCATCTTTATGAAGACTACGTATTTTTAAGTTGTTTTGAATTTATGACGTATAGGAAATAACCAACAAAATTTGGAATAAGCATCAATAAAAACAACATAATATTGATATCCTTGATTGGAAAAAAATTGGGGAGGGTCTCCATACATCCAAGTGAATAAGTTGAAGAGGAAAATAAAAGTGCGAAGATATTGAAAGAAAAGGTAGTTTGTGACTTGTTACAATTACAACTATCACATGACGATGAACTAATTGAAATTGCAAGAGATGGATTTTTATTGGAGATGCGATGAAGAGTGTTCACATGAGGGTGGCCCAAAAGCTATTGTCAGATGAGTGGATCGTTCATAATTGTAGCAAGGCATTTATGAGATTCTTACAAGCTAGAAGTGGGAGCCATGATGTGGATTGGGTACAACCCTTTCGAACTGTTGCCCCGAAGTATTGCCTGATTTGTCTAAGAATCAGAAGTATGAAACCAATAGAATTAAAGATGATGGAAAGGTTATTATCAGCAATTAATTATGTGCTGAGATAAGATTATGAATTAGGGAAGAGGAATGCCAAATGTTAGAAAGTTTAAGTTTAATATTAGGCGCCAGAAGGTTTCCATCACCATAGTGTTGAACTGGGATAGATTGAGCATTTCCGACTAGCATTTGTTCAGCTTCATTGGTCGGCGTCGTTGTTTGAAGATGATTGAAATCAGATGCTAGGTGTGTCGTCCCGCTGATATCAAGAACCCCATGGTGCAGTTGAAGCTTGTAGGGCGGCAGAGTAGCCCATCTTTTGGCAAATTTGACAGATTGTTGAAAATTTTGATTGAGATCGTCCGCCTTTTGTTCGATGATTTGGTGGTTGACTCGACTCCTACCTTGACCTCGAGGAGCAATTCAGCCGTCGTTACGCGTGGATGCAAGAGCAAGGCGAGGGTTAGCTGCTGTTTCAAACTTGAGACTGTCCTACATTACATAAAAAATGATGAGTGCATAATTCACCTGAAATATAATGTATACATGTGTCACCTTAACTATGCACAAAAAAATTATATTTCACTCTTTAAAAATCAAAATAATGATATCTTTGTTTTTACATAAAAATTTGGGCAGTATAAATGTAGAAAATATAATATAGGTGTTAGATAGGTAAATAGATAAAAATTCATCAATTGATATTTGGAAAATTTACATACATACCACATAATTCTTATGTATTTACATATCCAACACCAGCACTTTAACATCACCTCATCAAAAACACCTCCATAAATCGACTGAACTGGGCCTGCCAGTCGAAGTGGTGGAATCTGGTCTATCTGCCAAAGCGGCTAAGTTGATCCCATTAGCCACGGGTACTCCATTGTTCTCGATGGTTGGAACAAGCTCTCTCTCCTTCATTGAGATATCGATCCCTTTCTTTTTCTCACTATCTTTCCTCGCCGCCCATTTCTCTAGTGAGCCTGATGCATTTTAGCTTCCTAAATAAATTTCATCAATTAATTTTTGAGAAATTTACATACATACCACCTAATTCTTATGTATTTACATATCTAACACTAGAACTTTAAGAACACATCAAAAATATCTATCATTTTATTCCAAAAATTTAAACACAACTTTTCATGAATATAAATACTACTTTTCTTGCATAGATTAAGAAAAAAAAAACTTTTTTATGGCACCAAAGTGTCGTGAATCTAAGGTACCGTTTGGAGTATTGCGTTTTTAAAATGCTGACAGATTATTTGGTAATTGTGTTCAGTGGGCAGATCTGGAAACGCGTCGGCGGGACGGGAGTTGTTTTCGAAGGATCGAGACCGCGGGATTGACTCTGCGGCATGAGTTCCTTTACAGATTATTACCTCGATGCTCTTTCAATCTCGATCTCGCGTCTCTCTCCTTGCCCTGGCATTGCGATCGATCTCCCACACTCGCGCCTCTCGCCCTTAGAATTGTCCCTCTCCTTTCCCTTCTTACTCGGTGCTCCTTTGGTGCTCCTGTTATGTTTCTCTGTAAGTTTATGCGGATTTTGGCTTTATGTAACCATGTGGTTATTGATGGAATTGAGGTATTCCTCATGCGATTTTTTGGCTCTCTGTGTTGGAATATTTTGCGAGATTTTACATATTGTGCCAAAGATTTTTTCCTCACGAGATTTTTAGCTTTTCTCATGCGATTCTCTCTGACGTCGCGTCGGGCACATATCTACGAGAGAAAGTTCTACAGGTGTCCACGATGGGCAGACGGTTCAGAGAAGTGTGCCTCCTTCCGGTGGTCAGGCAGTCCGAACAATTCCACTGTCGAAAGTGATCGGGGTTCGATGGCATCCCTGGAGGACGACGTAGTTCAGGACAAACACCGTCTAGATTTTCTAAATGTAATTTTAATATTTCTTGCTTTTTTTAGTGTATAAATACTCAGTGTTATGTAAGGTATGTATTTTATTTTTTCTACTATTCTGAAGTGATTTTTTGCTTCGTAAATATCAAATATATTATTATAAAAAAAATTTTGTAAACAGTCTTACTGCAAAGAGGCAGAATGATCATTTATCCATAATCAACTACAAATCAGTTATTTTCCAACAGTACAAACCAAATAGTCAAGTGTCTTATTCTGATCAACTGATGAAGAGCTTATTTGGATTAGCTGCTAATCAACATAATGTCAATAAGCTACAGTTGCCCCAAACAAACCCTAAATATCAAAATTTGATGGTTATTGATGGAATTGTGGCTTTCCTCATGTAATTTTTGGTTCTGTATTGGAATTTTTTGCGAAATTTTACATATTGTGCCAAAATTTTTTTCCTCGCGAGATTTTTGGCTTTCATCATGCGATTCTTTACTGACGTCGCGTCGGGCACATAGCTACGGGAGAAAATTCTATAAGTGCCTGTGGTGGGCAGACGGTTCGGAGAAGTGTGCCTCCTTCGGGTGGCCAGGCAGTCCAGAAGATTCCACTGTCAAAAGTGAACGTGAGGTTCGATGACATCCTTAGAGGACGACGTAGTTCGGGACATACACCGTCTGAATTTTTTAAATATAATTTTAATATTTCTTGTTTTTTTTAGTGTATACTTAATACTCATTGTTATGTAAGTCATGTATCTTATTTTTTTTACTGTTCTGGAGTGATTTTTTGTTTCTTAACTATCAAATATATTGTTATGACAATTCTGTTGTAAACAGTTTTACTGCAAAGAAGCGGAATGATCATTTATCTATAATTAGATACAAATCAGTTATTTTCCAACAGTACAAACCAAATAGTCAAGCAACTTATTCTGATCAACTGATGAATAACTTATTTGGATTAGCTGTTTATCAACAAATTGTCAATAAGCTACAGTTCCCCCAAACAAACCCTAAATAGCAAAATTTGACTGTTAAATCTATAAATACATTAGAATTATGTGACATGTAAGTAAATTCCAGCATGGGTAAGTTGTTTCTCTTTCCTAAATAAATTTTGTTAATTGTTAATTGATTCAAATTTTGATTTGGATATGAGATCCAAGCAAAATAAATGAGTGAAGCTAAAAGCCAAAATTTTATATCAAATTTTTTTCAAGTCAAGCTTGAAGATGATGTTAACAGCACATAGTAGAATCCAAATAACTATCAATTTAATGAATATAAGGATTAATTCATTATCACACTTGAAAAATTTTGCAAAAGCCAACAAATAACAATACTCAAAAAAATATTTATTATTTCTCAATCTACTCATATACAATCATTTTCTGCCTGCATAAATCTTCAAGCTTGAACAACCTCACACGCCATCTTCAATATGATTTATTTATTTATTTATTTGATTTATACAAACACTGTAAACCTACAAAAAAGAAATCATTGCAAAACATCAATTTACATTTTAACCAAAAAATAAAAAAAAACAAATAAAAGCAAATTGAGAGGAGAAACAATCAGTCATCTCTCTTCTTCATAGACCACCTCTTTCTAGCCTCTTCAATAGCCTCTTCCTTCCATCTTGACAGCTCCTGCAACCAACTTTCATAGTGAGCTTCAATATTTTCCAGCTCCACTTCAAGTTCTTGACATTTCCCTAAAGCCAATAAAGACAGCAACTTTCTTACCATATTTATCTCATCGATGAAGTTCAGAATATAATATCTATATCCATCTAATCCAATTATGTACATGGGGGACATTTACATACATCCACACAATTCTTATGTTGCATATTTACATTTATAAAACTCACAACTTTAAGAACACATCAAAAATAGCACAATTACAAACTTTTCAAACATGCAATATATCTTTTCATGCATACATTTATGACACCAAAGTATTACAAGTGTAAATATTAAAATATATGAAATATATATGGGGCATTTAGATACATACCACAAAATTCTTATGTACTTACATATCAAACACCTATACGTGCCCCAATCATTCATATCACATAAAAAACACCAGTATTTTGAGATTTGAAGAAGTGAAATACACCTTTTCCATGCATAAGTAAGGTGGGCATACATGTAAAAATTGAAGTTTGGATGTTAGATATGTAAACACATAGACAATGATTTGTAGGTATGTAAATCTTCCTTTTCATAGATTTGTACTAACCAATATCACAATATGCAGTGGCAAAATCAATATCTGGAGCATATTGGCTGAAGCTCCTACAACTGGCAGTTAAAACTAATGACATGGCTGATCCTTGAGAGCATTTATCATCACAGTTTAAATCTGCATGGCACATACTTTCGACCGCTTTCTTGTACGAATCGATTTCGAGATGAGCCAAACCGAGTTGATCAATCCCGATATCGACGGATGAAACAGTGGATGGCAACGCGCATCGACACTGACGTGAAGCTTCTTCGTCCTTGCTGCCAGCTTCACATTCCTTTAATGGAGTCATTACTCCATTAGAAGAGTTATCATCTGCTGAAGGCTTCCAACCAGGAACCAGTTTCATGATCAAGAAATCAATAAAATCAGCTATAAAATCGACGTGATAATCAGGCAGCTCGAGTTGTTCCACCATTTCAGCAGATATTGCATGCGCCGTGTCGAAATCCAAATAAAATGGAAAATGAACAATCCTTGCGTTTCCTGCAAGCAGAAGTTTACAGTTTTTAATCAAATAGGATGCAGGGATTAAGAAAAATAAGTAAATTTACATACATATCACATCACACAATTCTTAATTATTTCCATATCTAACGCCTAAAGTTTGATATTTAAACTTTGTAACACCTTCATGTCATAAACCTATGCATGAGAATGTGTATTTCACTTTTCAATAGATAGTGTGGTGGTATTTTTGATGTGATGGTAAAAATTTGAGTGATATGCATGTAAATATGAATGTTTGGATGTTAGATATGTAAAGGATGTTAGATTGTAAAAAGATAAGAATTGAGTGGAATGTATGTAATGCCCCGAAATAATAATGACTAGTAAAACTATATCAAATTCATCATAAAACTTACCATTAGAATCTGCGATCCGCAAGACAAGTGAGACTGCATTATCGTTGACTTGCTCTGCCTTCAATCGGAATTCGGTGCCTTGATTATTTCGCATGAATTCGAGAAACTGGAGCGGAGGGATCTCATGGCTACTATTCGTGCCGGCGCTGAGAGGAAGCGACTTGTAGTCAGATTCAACATCGTTAGAAATTGATTCACAGTTGTTGTTCCCATTCGAAACTTCAGCTGTTAATTGAATGGGAGTGTGAGCAAACTCAGATGAATTGTCACATTGGAGAAAAGGATCTTTCAGAAGCTCTTTAGCAGACAATCTCTCAGAAACATGAACCAAGCATTTCTCAATGAATTGGCTTATTTGAGTATCTGATATTTTAGTAAGTGCAGCAGGCTTGATTCCCTGTTTTATCAAAATGAAAAATCAAATTTTTAAACATTTAATTTATAAAAAAAAACATTTTGATTGATTTTTAATTTAAAATATAGATTGGATTACCGAGGTAACTTTTTTGTAAATTTGAGCTGGATTTTTGCATTCACTATATGGATATTCAAGAGTAACCATCTCCAGCATGCACATACCAAAAGAATAGATATCAGCAAGCTCATTATATTCTTCATCATAAAGTTCTGGAGCCATAAACTCAGGAGTGCCTAAATAAATAAAATAAATGTCTAAAAAACCAACGAAATTAATCATCAACTCAAAAAAACCACGCAATTTTCGTATATTTACATATCTAACACCTATACATTTATATTAATTGCATACCACTCAAATTTTTAACATCACGTCAAAAATACCGCCATCACCAAAATACACCTTCACATGCATGGATAGATATGCAAATACATAAGAATTGTGAGGTATGTAAATTTCCTCCAGAAACTAGCAAACTTGAAATAATACCAATTACACTGCGGGCAATAGGTTGCTGCATGACGGTAGCCAACCCAAGATCTCCTATTTTAACTTCACCATGATTCCCATTGATGAATATATTGTCACATTTGAGATCTCTATGAAGAATGGGTGGATTATGACTGTGCAGATACTCCAACCCGCGAAGGATTTGTCTTGCCCAATTCTTTATTGCTTTCAAATCCACATTTTTATGTTTTCTGCGATATCTACACATTAAAATGATAAAAAAATGAAATAAAAATTACAACTTTATAAATAAAAAAGGGAATTTTCACAAAAAAATAAACAAAGTTAAGATCTTACTGTCTCAAGTTCCCAGAAGTAAATAGCTCAGTTATAATGTTTATAGTTTTCTTCTGATCATCCACCCAAGAATTATAGAACTTGATAATATTATCATGCTTCAAGGATTTCAGCAAATGAACTTCTGAATATAATCTCTCCAGATTCTCTGGAGACTGCAACAACTCATCTATTCTAACTTGATTCCAAGCAACCTCTATCCCATCTATTTCATCAAAACCTCTATATCTGTCACATAAATTAAAACAAATCAATTCAATCACAGAAACAAAAAAAATAAGCAAATTCTATTCATTTCTAATAAATATTGTCAGCATGAGAATCACAGAATGTAGAAAACATGGATAATCTGATAAACCTACACTGTCTTAAAGGCTCCTCTCCCCAAAACATCTTTGTACTGCAAACACCAACAATGGAGTAATTCAAGTATAAACCCAAGAAACGGAGAACGAAATCAAAGAAACATAGCATTGAAAAATCTATCACAATAAACCATTACAGTTAATAAAACCTAATGCATCTAACATTACAGAAAAGAAGAAGAAGATACAGAGAGAGGTAACTTTAATCCAACATACCCGGACGTACCGCCCTGTGGGATCCATCTCAATGCACTCGACATCAGGGGAGCCACCGTTCGTCTCTTCACCACGTGAAGAGTCCATTGCCCCAAAATAAAGGGGAGAGAAACAGAGCGAAAGAAAGAAAGATCGAGAAATCTGGAAACAAATCGGGAAAAAAAAGGAAAGGATCTAATCACAGCAATCTCGATCCCCAATTCCCGATCTGACAATATCCTTCAGAGAAAGCTTCGGATGCAACAGTAAACGAATTGAAAGCCGAGGGAAGAAAGACCAGATTCATAGCCCAGCCATCCTCCTCGGCTTCCACTCGCCGACAAATCATCCTCCACCAGATCAGCAATTCCCAAAATCTCTACCAACCGAGGACCTCGACGCAGAGCTAATGGAGACAAGAACAAGGCAGGAGGAAGCCCAGCGAAGGGTGATGGAGAGGAAGGGAGAAAGGGGAAAGCAGATATGCGAGCGTTTTAAAATTGAATGCGATGGGAACAACAGTAAGCGAAACCCTAACCATATCGGGGAAGCGGAGCAGAATCTCTCGGCCGGAAGAGGAGGAGGTGTCGAACAAATGTATGGTGAAAGATCGCGGTTTCCATTTTTATTCGGGACTACCTTTTTCCGCCTTCGTTTCAAGTCCGTTTTTTTTTTTTTTCCTCAACCAGCCTTCCAAAGGTGAGGTTTTTATTATGTTACAGAATATGGACCGGGGAGCTAACTGGGATGACGTGGCTGCTACTTTGGTTTTGATGGGTGGTTGTGATGGTGGGTGTTCTGTGGGTGTAAGTTGAGGTTCTACAAAATAAATCTTTTTGATTATGACCGTTGAAAGTGGATTATACCTTAATAGTGATTGATGAATGTATTTTGGCCTTTTCTGTCGAATTCATGCCTATTTATAGTTCCCACATGGAAAAAGGCTTCTTCTTTTTAATTAAATATAAGAATTAAGATATAGTAGCTAGATACATATACATATAAACTTTATGAACATTAATGAAATATTTAGTTGGGAGCCTCTACTAAATAATCATATAATTAATGAAGAAATTTATAATATTTTAAAAAGTACTTTGGAGTATTATCTTCTAAAAAATGAAAGAGACCCAAATAGAAAAAAAATATATTTAAGAGTGAGTGATTTGATATTTTAATTTCAAAGAATAATGCATATGCAATCAAAAAAATAAAGTAAAAAACTATTTTAAAATCTCGTGAAAAATTCATTGGTAAGAATAGAAGGGGTAGCGCTTCATTCAAATATTTCTCATTAGAAGTAACATGAGCTAATCTATTAACAATGGGTTCTTATCACGAGAGAAATGAGTACTATTTTTTATAGTGGGCAAAATCACTGAATGCCCATTTTTTTTCTAAGTATTATGCAAATATATATATCGAGTGTTAACATAATTACCGGAAATAAATCAATGGCATTAATTGTTGTGATATGGTGTAATTAATACTGATTCCATATGATGATTACTAGGCTTAATTTTTGCTCTTAATCTAATTCATTCCCTATTCTAAATCTTAGAATACTTGTATAAATAAAGTCCTTCTTTTGTACAATTGAGAAATAATAGAATAAATACAAATTCCTTTTTCTTAATATGCTATCACAGTCATAGATCTTCAGCTCTGATAACTCCTGCCTTGCTCCGGAGCCCGAGCTAATCGATCCCTTCTGCAATCTTGCACCTGCGAACTTGCGTTGGTTGCGATCGAGCCCCTCCCCTTTGCAATCTTCCGCTCGACTCTGAAGCCCTCCTCTTTTGTGATCAAGATCCTGCCCGTCTTGCGATCGAGCCCATCCCCGGTTGTGATCGAATCCTACCCCGACTTTGGCTCCGGCTCCAGCGACCCCACTACGACAACCCAACTCCAAACCCTCTTCCACCTGCAATCCCCTCTGCTATCCTACTCGATCCGAAGCCGACCGCTCAATCTTGTCCTCATCGATCGATGTAGCCCCACGTTATTTGATCTCTCCCCTGCGATCCTTTCTGATCCCGCCTCTGCCACAGAAAGAGGATCACATGACACAAGGAAAAAGTAACTTCGGCAAACTCCTTTCTGTTCTCATGACCACAATGCACAGGATTAGCTTCATGTTCGTTCCACTTCTAAATAGAGAAATCAAAAATTGTAAATCCTATTGTAACAATCTTGACTGGCTCAAACTATAATTTGTGGTCCAAGAAATGAAAATTTTCTTAATCGGTCGAAAGTTTTAGCGTATTGTCACTGGAGATATCAAGAAGACAATAAAACAACAAGATGAACCTAATGCCAAATTTGTTGACCGACTTGAAGATTTGGATAGCAAAAACCATCAAATTATTATTTGATTGTATAACACCTCTATTCCATCAAATTCACATTCAATTAGCAATATGACACTGCAAAAGAAATTTGGAAATTCTTGGCCAATGGATATTGGAGCACCGGACATACTCAACACTTTCAGCTGTGGACTACGCTTCACACTTTAAAACAAGAATTTGATCAATTTGTGAATAATTTTCTTGTTCAAGTTAAACCAATTTAGAATCAACTATCTCATGCAAAAATAAATGAACATCATCTTCATCTTATTCAATTTGGCTCTCCGACCTGAATATGAAGCTATTTGAGCCTCTCTGCTCCACCGACATTCTCTTCCTACACTAGAAATGGCTATACAAGAAATCATTTTCGAAGAAACTCGCCTCAGTCTTGACAAAACCTTGAACTCTGAAATTGCACATGCAACCACTAGTCCCTCAAATCAGATATTTAGCAACAACACATGTAAGAATTGCAAATAAACTAGTCATATCTTTCTTAATTGTCTGACTGTCGAATACAAAAATATTGTTATGCTCTTGGTCATATTCTTGGGAATTGCTCGACTCATCCTCTATGATCGAAAGGTGGGGGTTCTAAACCCAAGACCACCTCAAAGCCTGGCTTCACTTTTGTCTCTGTTGTTGTCACTGACAGTTCAACTACTATCACTATGAGTGATCTAGAAGCACTATTCAAACATGTTATCTCTTCCAATTCATCTAAGACCATGTCTGTCACTCCGAGTAACCCTCATTAGTTTTTTTTTTATATTTTTATTCAGCTTGCAGTGACCATATGACTAACAATGTTAAATTGTTGTCTACCACATCACAGATTTTTTTCTTACCACTGATTCACACAGCCAATGACAGTAAAATGAATATCACTCAAACTAATCATGCATCTACCTCCAATCTCAGTCTTTCTGAAACCTACCGCATCCCTTGCTTAACCCTCAATCTTATCTTTGTTGGACAGTTATGTGAACAAGGGTCGAATGTTAACTTTTCCCCTTTTTACTGTCAGGTACAAGATCCAAAAACAGGACTTATTCTTGGGATGGGTCGCAGGATGGGTCAATTATTCGTGCTTTTCTTTCTTCATCTTCCTCATAAATTTATGTCTGCTGCTACAACTACCAACTCTTTTATTCACCAATGACATTTTCGTGTGGGACATGTCTCAGCTAGTAAAATTTTGACTTTAATTTCTCGTGACTTGTTGGGATCTATAAAGTATGAGTCATTCAAGTGTATATATTGTCAGTTTGCAAAACAACCAACATTGTCATTTAATCATAGTAAAAATTTCAGAGAGTCATTTGACTTATTCCATTCGGAGATTTGGGGTCCTTCCCATATTCCTTCAACAAATGGTTTTCGTTATTGTATGTTATTTATTGATGATTATTCTCGGTTTACATGGATCTACTTTTGAAAAATCGATTTGAACTACCAAAAAATTTGCATTTCATTTGTTATTATAATCAAAGCTCAATTCTATGAACCTACAATGCTATGAAATGTCAGGATTATTCCTTACTCTAATTTCTCAGTCAATAAAGTAGCCTGATTCAACGCTCATGTCCTCACACTTCCCAACAAAATGGACGAGCCGAACGAAAACATCATATTCTTGATTTTGTTCGTGTCGTGCTCTACTTCATTCTGCCTCCTGTCTGGAAAAATTTTGGGGTGAAGCAGCTTTTACTGCTGCCTACATCACTAATTGGGTCCCTATCTCAGTTCTCCAAAATTTATCCCCCTTTGAAAAAAATTGTTCGGGAATCCTTCTGACTACTCCCTACTTAAACTATTTCAGTGTGTCTGTTTTGTTCTTCTATAACCCCATGAAAGTACAAAATTAGAACTACGTGCTCGTTTATGTTGTTTTCTTGAGTATGAAATTGAACACAAAGGGTATCGTTGTTGGGACCCTAACATAAATAAACTTCGCATATCACGACATGTTACTTTTTGGGAAAATATAATGTTCTCGTCCCTTTTTAAATTTCACCACGCTGTCAATATTGGCTCTATATTTCTCATCGATTCCTCAATTGAGTTATTTTCAAGTCCTGACACAGAAAATTCAGATACACTCAATAGTAGGCATTCTACACCTGCTTCTATTGATTCTGCTCCAACTATTGATCCTGCACCTACACCTCAACCTACCCTTGACACCACTCTTCATCATTCTACCAAGGTAAGAGAAACTCCCTGTTCCCTTGCTTTAAATTGTTATTCTGTCATTGCAACCGTTCATGAGCCTCACTCTTATCGTGAGACAAGTACTGACCCTTTTTGACAGCAAGTTGTGTCGCAAGAGCTTCAGGCTTTGAAGAAAACTTTTACTTGAGAATTAGTCGATCTTCCTCCTCATAAGTCTCATATTGGTTGTAAATGAATTTATAAAACCAAGACTTGTTCTGATGGGACCATTTAGCGCTACAAAGCTCGCTTAGTAGTCAAAGGTTTCTCTCAAAAATATGAGATAAATTATGAAAAAACTTTTGCTCCAGTTGCTCGATTAACATTGGTCTGTAGTCTATTAGCTATTGCTGCTGTTTATAAATTAAAGCTTCTCTAAATAGATGTCAAAAATGCCTTCCTCCAAGGTGACTTGTCAGAAGAGGTGCATATGCATCCTCCCCCTGGTTATCATTTTCTTCATATAATATGCTAACTCAAACAAGCCTTGTGTGGATTAAAACAAGCTCCTCTAGCTTGATTTGCCAAATTTAGTTATACTCTTACTCAACTTGACTTTATCTCTAGTCCACATGATTCGACACTATTCGTTCGTCGAACTAACCAGGGTATCGTACTTCTGCTACTTTATGTTGATGATATTATAATAACAGGCAATGACAAATTCAATATCTCCGAGGTACAACATTTTCTCAGTTAATGTTTTGAAATGAAGGACCGATTAACCCAAATTCCATATGTTGATGTCTAGGTTTAATTTCTGCTCTTAATTTACTTTTTTCTCTATTCTATGTCTTAGAATACTTGTATAAATATCATCATTATTTGTACATTTGAAAAACAAGAGAAGCATTACAAATTCTATTTTCTAAATATTGAGAATGGCAAAATTATTAAATTTCCTAAGCTATATATATATATATATAATTTATTAAATTTTATTTTAT